ACCATATAATTTCTATTACAAGTAGCATTAAAAGTAGTTGAATTTATCATGTAAACTATATGTATTTTTAACATTTTTTTAAATATATTATTGAAAGTATCTTCTACAAAAGTTAACAAAACATTATGTACGCTTAATTCACAAATATTTCCATTAATTAGAAATAATGCTTTGTTAAGTATAATAGCTCAATAGTGGTTGTTGACACTCTTGACAGTAACTACAGTGTTCCTATCAATTCTTAAAAATTCGATGTAATTGTTATATAATCTATATCTGTTTGAGGTAAATTCACATCTTCTAGAGCAGTTCAATTGAAAATGTTGATCATACTACGTTTATTTCTTACTGTAGTAAAATTTCACAATATATCACAAGATAATAATTCCTGCACTATTTTAGGTTAGCTTGTTTGGTGAGGTTAGTTCTGTGAATACACTCCATAAATTTACGATAAAATGTACATGTTTATTAATTGTACATACACAAAGTGAAATCATAGAATTGTAAATTAACACGTTTATATAATTCAGTAATATTATTTTTTCTAAAATACCTTGTAAAAATTCTCCCCACTTTCTGCGTCCTTTGTCGCGGTTCGCCATATTGAAGTACAATCATATCAAAATTTTTATGAAATCAAGGAATACGATTGTATACATTCTAATCATAATTCAGTCGATAAATGAAACTCATAATCAACAAATCTACAAAGGAAGAATTAAAACACATGTCATTTACTTTATTATTTACAAATGTAAAGTACATACGTTTGAAATTCAGTTGTTAGATTTTCAAAATAAAATTATATACTCAAATTTCATCACTAACGAAAATTTGAAAAATGTGTATATACATATTATATATGTATACACATTTGTTATAAAATTTTCCTTCGTAAATATAATTCTCTTGTATATCATATAATTTATTTATAATGATAAACATGATATAAGAATACACGTATTAAAACATCAGAAATGATTAATATTGAACAAGATATTACTTCATAATCATTAATTAAATCTTACGACATCGAATAGTAAATTCATGCAATTCTTGACGCGCCAATATGAAATTACGAGAATATATTAAGTACAATTCTTAATGTAACGATTTTCTAAATACTAAAATACTGAAAATGGACATTACATTAATTCGATAATAAATAATTTGTAATTTATAATAACTGACTAAAGGCTTAGTACGGGGAACAATAAATCATTTCATCTTATTCTTAGATTCATACACAAAATGAATGTTTCGAAAAGCACAAAGAAAAGTACAAAGTGCATACATACAGTGAGATACTGAAAGTTACAGCACCCGTATGAAGCTTAATTCACCATATTAACAAATATTAATGAAACATAGCTCAGAAAAATTGCTCTTTAATTGCCCAAAATTGTTCACCAATAAGTTTTAATTGTTTACTTATCCTTTTCGAGAATTATCCAGGAAACTTTTTGAGACGCCTAGTGACTTTTACGAGAGGCTGGGGACTTTTAAAAACACGATAATTCGGAAATAATGCATAAAACGTGCTGTATTACCTATCAAAGAATTGCTCTTTTCATCTAACCAATTTCTTCACCTTCCACGTGCGACAATTTCATCAATAAACAATAACTTTTCAATAAACAAATATACAAGGAACTAGGAACACGTGCCGTAATATCAATTAGCAAAACTACTCGAAAAATTGTTCTAACACAATGTGCAATGGTTTAAACAATTGTATTTTAATAGCCTATTATTGATCTGCAATTGCTTTTATTTGTTTCTTCGTCGTTTGTTAGAAATTTCCAAAAAACTTCTTTTGGGACGACTAGGGACTTTCACGAGATGCTGGAGACTTTTAATAACACGAAATTTCTGAAATAATGCATAAAACGTGCTGTACGACTTACCAAAGAATTGCTCTTTTCATCTAATCAATTTCTCAATCTTCCATGGGCGACAATTTTATCAATAAACAATAACTTTTCAATAAACAAATATATATGGAACTAGGAGCACGTGCCGTTCATGGCTGCCAAATATAAATCGGCAAAAATACTCGAAAAATTAGTCTAACTCAATGTGCGATGGCTTAAACAATTGCTTTTTAATTGCCCATTGTTGATCTCTCCAATTGCTTTTATTTGCTCTTTCGTCGTTTTTTAGAAATTGCAATAAAACTTTTTTATGGCGACTGGGGATTTCCACGAGAGGTTGGAAATTTTTAATAACACGAAATTTCTGCAATAATGCATAAAGCGTGCTGTATGACTTACCAAAGAATTGCTTTTTTTTGATAATTATTGTTTCATAATTACTTTTAATTGCTTACTTCCACTTTTCGTAAAAGTACCAAAAAATCACCACACGATCTCGACTCCCTGAAGCGGCCGACGATACACGCGAAGTTAGTCGAAAGTATAAGCCCGCATCCGATAAGTTGAAATCGTGATGTCTCTTTGTAGAATATCGTAAGCAATTGTTTTTTAATTGTTCTTTATCGTTCCTATTTTAGTTTTAATTGTTTTCAAAATAAAATGCTCATGACAGCTATAAGTTCTATCGACTCAACGATTGTCCCTTATTTCATTGAACACTGACTTAAATAAAGAATTTATCCGACAAATTAAGATACTTTTTCCTATCTTTACTGTTCCTTACGTAAATTTAATTTATTAACAATTAACAAATGCATTTTCAATGATTTTCGCGGACGTTTATACGTGCTTGGTACATGACTAACATTCGCGTGAAAGTTGGATTACCTAATATTTATGATTCGAAAGTTTTTTTCTATCCCGAGTTGTGTTAGTTAATCTTGCTTAAACATTAGATAGTAAAATAGACGAGAGAGTACTAGAAGGTTTCATTAGGAAAAGAAATTCTTATAATCGTTAAACAACTAGAAACAATAAATTTATCAATAGAATATTTTCGATGACATCGTCATTCGTGGTTTTAAAATCACCGCGTATGTTTGACGTTATTAATTACTACGAAATGATATGAGGAAATAGACACGGAAGTATTTAATCATATCATTGGCAAGAAAAATTCTGGTAAATATTAAACATCGAAAAGCAATAAATTTATTAACGGAGCTCGTTTGCTGCAACAATTTCTCGAAACATTCGTGCTCGAATAATTACTTTATATGTCCGATTCTATCAATTATTTTCACTAACAAATTAAATGTCAAAATAGCCAGTGGGATGCTCAACCATAATTCTCACAAACAGAATTGTTGTAAATATTAAGAAGCGAGAGACAGTAAATTTATTAACGAAGGAAATTCGATTTAATAACTCACCGATCGATTTATACAAGTCTCTTGTTAATTAAACCTCGATGATACTT